CCTTATTGAGCATCTAAGTATAAGTTAAAATATCACATTAAGTAAAAATAAAAATAATTGAGTAATTTATAATAATAATCTAATAATTTAAGATCTTGGATTGAAATTGATGTCATATATTCTTTTATATAATTAATTTGTGTCTCATTAACCCCTTATTGTAGCCCTTGAAAATAACAATCACACCTTTCTAACTATGTGAATTTGTTATTAGCAAGATTGGGCTATCCACATTATTTATTTCCTTTCTAAGCAAAGTTTTTTTTTTTATTTGGGTGTTGATAGACACTCAAATTAAAAGTATTAATAGAATATTTGAAACAATATAGATTCACAACTATCCCATCTAAAAATGAGAGTGTCCTGACTTTATGTTCACTATGATTTAACGTTAGGGTTAATTTTTATATTCGAGATATTGTCTGCTCTGGAGCTTTAGTTCATTATTGTTTTGGCTTTAAAGATGTCTTGATGAGTTAAAAAAAAAAAGGTGTATATAAATTATTTTTGTCTTAACTCCTAAGTAATATGAAACTCATAAACTTATTGAAACAATAACCACTTCTAAATAAATATAATATCAATAAGATTTTAAATTTTTATATTTATTAATATTCTATGATTAATAAATATTTAGAAAAATTAGCTTGTATAGATATCATTCTCTAAAAATTATCATTACAACATTCTTCTTGAGAAACCATTAAGTATTGAGCATATTAAAACAAAATCCAAGAATTTATGAAGTAATTGTATGAATATTAATAGAAGAGATAATGTATGATATGGAGAAATAAATTTGGTCACGACAGAATGTCTTAAAAATTTTAAGAGTGAGTGAGATTGTTTGATGGGTATGTCATTTATATATCTAAAAAAAAGTCATCTCAAATATCCAAATCTTTCTTAAAAGGTATTTCACTGAAATTTGTATATTTTTAAATATTAGTATTCTATTTTATAAATTGAAAAAAAAAATCTTAATTAAATATCTAAACACTTGTCTTGATTATTATTTTTTTTACTTTTATAAACTAACCCCACAAGTTTACTATGAAACCAATATTATTACATCCCATTAAAACAACAGTTTTTTTATTCTTTTATGTCTTTAAAGCTTCTATATGAAATATAATTGTTGATGGGAGAGTTTTCCAAAATGTTATTTGATCATCTTAAAAGATTAAATGAGTATATTTCTTTTAATTTCAAACATTAGTCATAGAAAAATGTGTTTTTTATTTACTTTTGTCTTTTTCTTTCTCTTGTATTATTTAAGTTCTCATATTGGGCAACATTTTGCATGTATTATTACTTGTTGAAGAAGATTTTCCTCTTTGAGAGTTTTAACTTTTTCCAGTTGCCATCAAACTCAACTATGATGTATCCCCAATTTTGCAATCCCTTTGCATCTGGTTGATTGATGAATCGTTAAAGTAAAACGACAATATCCTCATACATTTGGTCATAAACTTTGTTACTGCTATGGTTTCATTTGAACAAGGCACTGTAAGTTGTCTTTTTGGTGGTTAGATTCGCATGAGAAGATTTTGTACAAAATAACAAGGTTGTGGCAATACTATATTAATGTTCATCTCAAACTAGTTCATTTCTTATTACTTAACTTATTTGTTCAGGAAATTGCTCAACATGACCATTTATTTAACAAAAAGATAACCACCTATGAGCTTTGTTTATTAAATGTTTTTATCAGTTGTAAGTGTTTTATTTGACGACAATGATGAATTTTACTTATATTTATATTCAAATTAATACAAATTTTTATCACATTTGGCTATTTGGAGAAAGATTTTTTACTCTAACATTATTAATATCATCTTAAAAATAGTAAAATATTAAAATCTATTCTATAAAATGGATGATTATATTTATCACTTTATAATATAATTTTATAATAATGTTAGTTGATATGATATTTTATTATTTTGTATTAAAAAAATTTATATTTTCAATAGAAAAACTAAAATCTTGTAATTTTCATAGTGGAATTCAAATATATCATAGTACTCATTTTAATGATTTAAAAGAAAATTAACATCCCTTGTTAAAAAGCAGCTACTTCCTTTTTCCTGTATATGTCTTCTTCAGCATCAACCTAAAGAATCTAACATCCGTCCAAGACAGAATCCATTGATGATTCTTTCTCGTCCTTTCAAATTCTTTAGTCATAAATAAAACCCTAAAAGTCAGCAAAAGTGCGGGTAAAAAAAGTAAAAAAAAAAATTGAACATATATAATACTACTCTCTTTTATATATATATGTTCAATTATATATATATATATATATATATATATATATATATATATATATATATATATATATTACTTTTCTTATTTACAATATTCGGGAACTTATATTACCATGCATATTACTTTAATTCCTACCCGTCCAACATATATAACTTAATTTATTTTTACTTTTTATCAATAGGGAGGGTAACAAAATAATTTATAATATTTATAAAAACAATATTATCAGTTTTTCGAATCTCATGATAAAAAAAAAGACAAAGTTTCTCTTTACGCGTTTTCATCATACTTAGAAAATATTATATTGGATGATATAATCATCTCTCTATAGAACAAAACAATTATTTAACCATTAGTTTTCCAATATGATTATGCAAAGAAAAAAATTTTGCACAAAATTCATTCTAGAGAAATATTTTTCAACTATTATAATTGTAAAACGCAAACTCAAAGCTAATTTCACAAGTAAATAAATAGATGAATCCAAAATATGCGTTCTAGTTTTTATAACTTACGAAAAATCAATAACCCATTTAATTTTAGAAAAAAAAAACGAGAATTAACATGTATTATAAAAGTTTCAAATTGAACTATCAAACACCATCAGCTTCACAAAAGGAAATCTAATAGATAAAACTTAGCCAAACAAATTTATTTTTACCCTTCAAATACAAAAAAAAAATGTCTAATGGTTCAAGCCTATTGCCCAAATCAGAAATTGAGTATTCTGTTAATTTTTTGAAATTGTCTATTAATCAATTATAAAATAACTCAGCAAAATTCAAACTTTTAAAAAACTTTATACTTTGGTCATTCTTTTGTAATGGATGCATATTTGAAATGTTATATTAAAAGAATAAGCATGATTAAAATTTAAAAAAATATATCACTTTATTTTCTATTTATGTTTATTTAAAAAAAATACTTTCATCATTTCGGGGTCAATACCCAAAAAATGAGCACAAAAGTAATATAATGTTGACGCAAAAATATTGTAATAAATTATTATTATTATTATTATTATTATTGTTATTGTTATTATTATTGTTATTATTATTATTAATAACCTGAGTTTTGATTAAATATATTCGAGAGTGTTTAGTGTATTCCGAACGAAATTTACCACCATAATAAGAAGATAAAATGAAATTATGATATTTAGAAATCGACGTAAAAAATAATTTATCAGAATATTTTTCTCTTGATTCATTAAACAACATTTTATTCATCAAATAACATTTTAAAATAAAATTATAATAGAAAACAATTTTAAAATGAATGATATATTAATAAATATCGGATATATATATATTATATAATAAAAATCTTGAAAAATTAAGATATAGTCTTAATTTTTATTAAGAAATTATGGATATAAGATTTAAATATAGACTATGGTCTTAATTTACGTACAAACCGATTTTTTTACAATATAATAAGTTTAAAGAAAAAATCGATTAAAGAGTGTTGTGAAAAATAATATAGTAAATATTTACACGTGTATGTGAGTTAGTGCTGCGAAGAAAAGTGGGAATTACACGTCAGGGCTGAAAATTTGATTTAGAAAAGAAGGAGAAGTGAAGAGGGGTCAGCTCCGACTGCCCTATCAGTGTACTCCACAAACCACTGTGCCTATTTTAAATTACTACCTCCATTAATCAACATTTGACTCCTGAAATAATCTCTCAAGAGTTAATGACACGCAATCCAATATTTTGGAGTATAAAATTAGATTTAAATTATCCTCTAAATCCAAAACTATTTGTTCTGTCTTTTCTGTCGCGAGTGATACGTGATTTGCTGTTATAATATTGTTAGGGTATATTATTGTTAGGATAAATTATTATGTAATAATAGTTTCTGAATTTTCTTCTGTATATAATTTATCATTGTTCCTAAATGTATCATAACATAATTCTTGTTTGATTCTTATCATGCGTAAAACTTGATACATCAATATGGATGTATTTTAACTTATTGTATTTTATTTTTATGTATATTATTTGGTTGACAAGATAGGTAGATATGGTATTGTTGTTGTGTGAACTAAGAGTATTTTTAACTGCTAATTGGATGGTCAACACTTATACTATTTGATTCAAGTAAAGTATGCGTTAATGGTGAAGTGATGTATTTTGCGAAGATGCATGGAAGCATGTAGTATTTCACCTAACCTACAATTTGGTATCTTCCTGCCATGACTAGTCCAGCTTATAGTATTTTACCAAGTGGTGGAATTGGTCTTTGCTTTTGGTTTAAAGAAAGTGATTGGTTTTAGGGTATTTACGAGAATTGGCAACTTGGAAGTTGGCGTGGGTTGGAAAGAGACAACCCTTCCCAAAAGAATATAAATATAAGGACAAACCATGGGAAATTTAAAATCCCTCACTGCTAAGGAAACCATACATAACTTCCTCTCACTTTTTTCTGCCTCCAAAATTTTTGAACAAATTGCTCAAGATAGTTCTATGTTATTAATATCTATCATATCGTAGTCATTTTGAAACTCTTCAATCTCATTGTGTCACCCTTTGTCACAATGGCAACATTTTTCCCAAGAATGGCAGTCAGATATATTCTTCTGACATTGTTTTTCTGTGCAGGTAACGTGTTTGTTTTGTATATCTTTGTTTCTTTTAATGTTCTCTATGCTTGATTTTGTATTTTTTTAGTACTACTAACAAGATAACATTGATATGGAAAAAGTAAAACTAGTTTGGTTGGTGTGAATGTTTCTTGGTAGAGTAACGACATTTGCTGATTTTTCATCCACAGATGTTGGGTTTTTTGGAGGTGTTGCATCATTTGGAATCAACTATGGCCAAGTAGCTAACAATTTGCCGTCACCGGACAAAGTGCTTGAACTCTTCAGCAACCTTAAGATCACAAAAACAAGAATTTATGACACCAATCCTGAGATCTTGAATGCTTTTGCTAAATCAAACGTTGAGGTCATTGTGACAGTTGAAAATGAAATGCTGAGCCAATTAAATGATCCTCAACAAGCCCTTCAATGGGTGAGTGGCCATATCAAACCGTACCTCCCGGACACAAAGATCACTGGGATTCAAGTAGGAAATGAGTTGTTCACTAATGGTGACACCACTTTTATTCAGTATCTTGTCCCAGCAGTGGTTAACATTCACAATGCTCTGGTTCAGCTAGGCATTGACTCCAACATCCACGTTTCAACACCAAGTTCCTTAGAAGTGCTTCAGGAATCTTACCCTCCTTCAGCTGGTAGTTTCAAAAGTGAGATCACTGGGATCATGTCCCAGTTTTTGAGCTTCTTGTCCACCACTAAGGCACCCTTTTGGATCAATGCCTATCCTTACTTTGCTTACAAGGATGACCCCAGTAGGATTCCATTGGACTATGTATTGTTTAATCCTAATGAAGGAATGGTTGACCCCAACACCAACCTACACTATGATAACATGCTTTATGCTCAGGTAGATGCAGTCTCATTTGCCATTGCTAGATTGGGTTTTAGTGGGATAGAGGTTAGGGTCTCTGAGACTGGTTGGCCATCCAAAGGAGACTCTAATGAGGCTGGTGCCACAGTGCAGAATGCTCAAACTTATAACAGGAATTTGCTGAGAAGGCAAATGGCAAATGAAGGGACACCTCTGAGTCCTAGAATGAGGTTAGAAGCATACTTTTTTGCATTGTTCAATGAAGACATGAAGACTGGAGCTACCTCGGAAAGGAACTATGGTCTCTTTCAACCTGATGAAACTATGACTTACAATGTAGGGTTGGCTGCTTTTGCAGCCTCATCCACTTCATCTACTTCAATTTCTCTTACCTCCTCTGCCACCAAGACAAAGGTAAAAATAAAACCAATCTTTTTTCTCCCCAGCTTATAGCAAAACTTGTATGACAGAAAAAGAAAATGTAATTTATACAACTGGGAGGAGTGTATCAATTTAAAAGAGGTTTTGCATGTAATTTCGGATAGTCAGATTCATAATCATAAATTTTAGCAAAATATTTTCGAATTTACTGTCTTGCTATATATAGTTGGTGCATTCTCATCAGGGTCAATCTAATTATTTTCTTTTTCCGTCTATTCAAATCAAATTTTACATTGAAGCAGGCAGCATCAAAGGAATTTCAAAGCTTGTTCTTCTGGATGTTTGTGTGTTTGCTGACTTCAGTCCTTTGTGGTTTTGTTTGAGAAGAATATAATTACATTCTTATGGAGTGATTCATGTGTATATATCAAAATAACGTAAAGTTGGGATTTTACATCCTTCAAGTTGCAAAATGGAGTATCTCTAGTATGATCTATATTAAAGGTACCTATTTTGCAGAAATCAGGAGCAACACACACTTTGTAACAATGAGGCAACAAAATCTGCAATACGGCGAAGAGTTCAATTCAATTGGAAGATCACCTTTCACTGAGTGGCTACACTTTCACCCATTTACCCCACCATTAGTCACATTCCATCAACAACCATGTGGCGGTGACGTTACATTGAGCTTGTTTTAGATAGATAAGGTCCAAAAGCCACATCATTCTTTTATTACCTCAATTGTCAAATAGAAAATGTGTTTGTATATTGCTGATTTTGTACAATTTATTTCATTTCATTCATCCAAAGAAGAGAAAAAGTATAAGTGTAAGTTGCTGCTTGAGGAAAAGGTAGAGAGGCTACAAGACATATCTGTCTTGTGCCACCTAATTGGATGCTAAGAAAAGCCCTTTATATGGGACGTGGAATCCATGACTGTACTCGTTTGTGTGTGTGTGTATATATATATATATATATATATATATATATTTATAAATAAATGTTAAAGTAATTACTGGTATACCATTCTTTTCTCTCCTTTACCCCTTTCATCAACTTGTGTATTTTATCATAGTACAAAAGTTCATCAGAAATATGATATAATTAAAATCTAATTAAAGTGCACAAAATTAAGGCTTTGGTTGCCTCTTTTATTATCCTCATGCGGACAATAGGACGGGTCCTGCTTTATTCTATGGCCAAATAACCGTCAGCATAGGGTCATTGCCGACCCCTTTTCCAAAGGTGCCTTTATCAGTTTTTCTATTTTAAAGGGGACAATCAAAATTAAGCCTTATCAGAACATGATGGGGATTGGTGTAGCTCTTTGACATCAGTGAAGGTGGTTGTGCACATGAACCCCTCAAATTCTCAACTTGACCCACCACCCTTTATGGGACAACAATTGTTTTTCTTTTGGGGCGTAATAAAATACTAGGGCAATTTGCAAACAAAATCCACCCAGAATTTTTGCATCGTCATAGTCTTGAGGAACTCAACATTCTGATTTGAAATTGCTTCCTGCAGACAATTGTGATGGCAGCAGTGTTTTGGCCTTTTCTCAATTTTGATTATTAGTCCAATTACTAATGTGACATATTCCCCATGTAGGGGTCCCATCTCTTAATAATTTCAGAAAGTGCTTGACTAAGAATTGGAAAAACTTTAGTCCTTGTATCCTACTATGCCATTGCATACTCTTTCATGTCATTTACTAAGTTCAATTATAATGTTGTGTGTGGCAAGTAAAATTGTCTATTTTCTATTTCATTATATGTTCTCTGTTGTTTGCGTTGTCTCAGTTGTAGTCATAGAGTATTAAGTCAAATTTTATATTTGCTCTGCACGAATTTCAACATGGCCCTGTTCATGCACCCATCAACAAATTTATATTTGCTCTTTAGCTTCTTCTATTTTTTTTTCCTACATCACAATCGTACTTTTATATGCTGCTGTTCACAATGCCTAGAATAAACAAATACAAATACAACCATTGATTAGGCAAGCACAGTCCCTCCAATCAACCCCAGTGGCACTAATATTGTGTACCAATTGTTTCTTCTATATTAAAAATGTTCCACTGCCTCTGGTTAATCCCAGTGCAGTTCTTCCTCCTCGAAAAGCCGATGCAAATCGTCAAAAGAACCAGATATCTGAATACCCAACCCAATAACTTTTGAAACAAATTACAATTCCATAATGACATCGCTTTGAAGATTTAAAGAGAAATGAAGCTTCAAAGGAATGTCAAAACTTTAACACTGACCTTTATGATCTTTATTAATTAAAATTCGAATAACATTAAATAAAAATTGACCAAACAATTAACTTACAGATTACCGGCCGAGTCTCTTGATATATAAATATTAAGTTTTCTTTTTGTGATTCTACGCAACACTTGCTTTCGGGTTTTAAAAATAAATAGTGGTAAAACGAACTAAAAAAAATGATAGTGAAGAAGTGTGTTAAAATGGGATTAAAAGCAACTATAGTTTATAAAATGAAACTATCAGAACCATAAGTGAAAAAAAGGCACTTGATCCCATACAGTCTACTAAGAATTAAATGGGGAGAGGACAGAGAAATCATAAAACATTATATCCGTACAATCTACGGAACAATTTTCACTTTTTCAAAGTGAGATCATTTGGGTTGAGATTTTGGTAGTTAAATCCAGTATTTATCGGTTGGAAAGTAAGCAACGAGCAGAAGAGAACACATTCAGAAATGCGCAACCGATTTAAGGTACCTTTGTTAAAAGAAACCTCTTTGGGGAACGTGTTTTACTTCAAGTGTCGTACTTAGACGGCTCTAAACTTGTTTCTAATGAAAACTGCATTCTTTTATTTTTACATTTAGTAAAATCTCATCTGTAAGTATTAACAAAAATATCACTTTTATTTAATTCTATAATCCAGTTATATGTAAGTAATCATACATCCAAAAGTATTTTATACTAACACTAACTAACTTGGCTAAAAATTATTTTAGAAATAGATAATTCCAAACATTAACCAATTCACTCAAATTCATTTTTAACTAAAATCAAACTTATCTAAAATTAAGTAAACAAACTCTAATATAAAGAGACGCTTAACAAACACTTTCGTATAAAGTCATGGGATGGGAAAGGAAAAACGAAAGTAATCAATTACAGAACAGTACGATTATGTGAAACTTAATTTTGACTCCAACTAAAACTGCTCTCAGAGTATGTGCTGTCGATTGTCCCAGAAGTGGAACGATATGAAAATGGCAGTTCTTATGATCTCTAGCCCAAGTGCCCAACCATTATTAAAAACCAGACACTAATGAAGAACAGCATAATACAGAGAAAGAATGGCATAGGTCACAATTTGTTTTGTGATGATGCATTAGTTTTGAAACTGAACCTATGTCACACCAATACTTATTCACTGAACATAGATACTACTGAAACACCGAAAAATATTCTTCATTTTTTCAGGAACGATAACAAGTGTAGAATTATTTCCTAGAAGCCAACAGTTTTAATACCCGCCAGTCTTCTTGTTCCACCACTCCAGAAACTTGACCTCAGCAGCCAATGTGTCTACCCTGTAAAGTTGAAGAGCATGATTTGCTATTTCATGTCCAAAAGTCCAACCAAATATACCTCCAGCTAAAAATGACAGTCCAGCGCCTGTTCAATATTATAAGGAAAAGTAAAAGATTAATAATGTATACGAAACAGTTCCATACTATTATCACAAAAACCTACATAAATACTTCTTATACAATATATTGTAAAACAAATTCAGAGTCTAAAACATATTCAAGTGTCAAAATGACCAAGAATGGTGCTTGTTTTTGCTTACAGTATGATATCAAATTAAAAGCTATTCAAAAGCGCAGTGCTGTAGAAAAAAAAAATCAGTAGCAAGACAAGTGGTAGATTACCATGTAAACTCCTTGAATATTTCCAGGCAAAGCCTGCAGTAAATAATGCTCCCAAAGCACTTCCTCCGATGCCAAATTGCGCTGCATCTCTAGCAGTTTTCAGCTGAAATGGGAAAAGGGAAATTACCCGCACAGCACTTCAGATCATAGCTATCTTAAAGTAAAAACTCAATCAACTTTATACTCCAGTAGGTGAAATATTGATATTATAGAAAATGCAAAACAATGATAACAGCCACAAACAGTTAAGGTCTGTTCGGTTGGAGGGAACGGAGTGGAAATAGAGGGGATGGATTTAATTAATTAGGTTTGTTTGGTAGGATAGAAATAGGAATAAGAGAACTAAAAAGAGACTGGATCACATCCCATCAGTAATTTTACACCTATTTCCTCTCATCTCTCACTCTCCTTATCACTTCTCTATCTCTTCAACAAAACACCTTTGATTTTCACTTTATTTCTTACTTATTTTCGCTCATCCTTTTCTATTTCCATCCACCCTATTTCTCTACTATACCAGACAGGGCCTTACAGATATAGAAAGGGGTTAGAAAATAGATTTGCTGTCATTTTCCATTTATTAAGAGAATGAGCTCCAACATACGAAACAGAAAAATATAGTTTTCCAATTATTGATTTTTTACACAATATCCGTTTTCCTCTTTTGGAGAGTCAGGGTTTCAAGGGAATCACCTTTGATTCCTTTGGACTATATACATCACAAACACCCAAAAGAAGATAAGTGTTGTCATGAATGGTGAGTGATGACACTATGACAATAATGCATATCAGCAAAATCAATGAATGATGAAAAGTTATTACCAGAATAATGATGTCCAAAGGACATCCAATTGACGGACAAACTCTATTATGTTGAAAGGGCAAAACATTTGATAAAGACAGTTAATGGCCAGCTCAAGATCGAATAGAATAGAATGGAGCATCCTAAATCCCAATAACCTCAAAGGAAATTAGAGTTCCTTTTATTGCTTCATACAGTCGTGACTATTAAATCTGTCTATGCCTAAAAGTGCAACTACCATTAATTGTTTGAGCGGTTCCACTTTACATGTCATTCAAAGATTATTTGTGTAAGTCGGAGACTTTAAATGCTTATATAGTTGTGACAAAAATACTGAAGATTACAAAGTGGCACAGCCAACCTGGCATAACATGGATGAGAAAGCAAAAATAGACAGGTACTGATGCCACATTAGAGTTGCTGGTGCAGTAACACCTCATTTTTGGTTGTTTTCTTGGGATCACCTCACCAGTTGTGTTGGAAACACACTCAGTTCTGTGATCACTTCTGCTCATAAGAATCACAACCACTCAGATACAGACAAATACTATGTCTAGTGAGTGATGACATTATGACAATAATGCATATCAGCAAAACCAACAGGTGATGGGAAGAGATGGCCATCATGTTGATATCTGTTGATGGAAGAACTCTATATGTTAAAAGGACAAAACTTTGGAAAACACATGATTAATTTAATGCCCGACTCAAACTTGAGTATATTACAAATGGAGTATCCTAATAACTTCCAAAGAAACCAGAATTCATACAGAAGGTGTTTGGCAACAACTGTTTCAGGGAAAGTAATCATTTTTTAAGTTGCAAAAAAAAGTAATTACTTGCTCAAGTCAAAGAAAGTTGAACCAATCAGGCAAACACACACTAACTTAGCATCCTATAGTTGTAATGAACTATCAAATCTGCCAATGCCTAATTGCCGCTATCATTGATTGTTAGCTGGATATAGTGTTATTATTCACAATTGCGATGGCAAACACACGCTTTAGTGTCATTTCCCTAAAACAACATTACCCAACACCAAGAAATATAACATCAGGAACCAGATTTCAACATGCAGTGCACCGGACGGTAAAATTCCAAACCAAAGACTAGAATATAAATAAATATCACAGACAGATTAGCTTATAATGAGGTGGAAACATTCAACATAACAAGGCAACGAACATGAAAAACTAAAGGACACAAAGGTAGATGATAAAATGAGAGAATTATTACGACGGGTCCATGAACAGGATCGGAAGCAATAAACTCCTCGACGTCAGAGCTGGACCAGGAAGGGATGGGTTTATCACGCTTGATGAACTTGGAGTAGTTTCCCAAAAAGGAAAACCTTTCTGACCAAAACTCCTTGTAACCTTCCCAGTACGACTGGGATGACGAACCTTGCGTATTGTCTGTCATCACTCTCTTTCACTTCAATCCTTCTGCAGTAACCAGAAGAATTCAATTCAGCACACAAGATTAATGACTGAATCAAGTAAAAATTTATTGTACACTGGAATCAAAGTTTAGACAATCCAAAAGCACTTTTAAACTGTAACTATATATTTTATTTCAAATGGTTGCATTAGAATCAATTACAGACTCATTCTATCTAAAAAGCAGGATTTCTTGATAAAAAAAAAAAAAATCATTCGCGTGAAAGTCAAACTCCTGATCGAAATAGAAAATAATAAATCCATTCACACATTCGTAAAAAATTAAAAAAAAAATCCAAATAGTTCAGCGATTAAATAATAATAATACTAGAAAGGAAAAAGGAGAAAAAAATAATACTAGAAATGGTGATAATTACGATGAAATTGATGGATCAGAGATTGAATTGAGTAAAGAGAGCGTGGGAATTAGAGAAGGAGAAGAAAAGTGCGGTACCGAACGTGCTGGAACAGTAACGATGACGAGGAGAAACGGTTCTGGCGCAGTCGTTTTCGAAAGGCAGTGATGTATTTATTTAGGTTTTACGAGCTGAAGCACAGACAACACAACAATGCCCGTTTATGCTTTCGGATCCATCTTTGCGTCATTTATTTTCTTTTCCCGACATAATTGCGCCATTTATCAATAATCTAATTTTTATATAAAATATCTCTATTTTATTTAAAAAGAATATTGTTTTTTTCTTTCATTTCAAGAATTGAGAATTGTATTATTAATAGATTCATAAATATGTCTATTTGTCTTCTTTTATGAAAATGAGTGAGTGTCACATCTTAATAATTCAGGACATAACATTTTTTTTTCACAAATTTCTCCGAAATAAAAATTATTTACAAAACCTCTAGAAAGAAAATACGAATAATTTAAATGTGAGAGAGGTGAGTTGAATAACTCACTTGTACGTGTCTCACAACTTAAAAAACTCTTAAATATATTTACAAAACTTTCAGCCATAAATTTCTTGAAAAATTTAAACCTATTGTTATGAGATATGAATTGTTACGGATTATATTATTATGGATATGTTTGTTTGCCCTTTAAAAAATGTAGTCAAAAAGTGATTAAATTTTAAGTAGTTTTTGTTAGAATTAATTTAATTAATTCATTTCATTATGTGACTCATGTGAAATATAATAATGGGTCCAAATGTGATTTAATAAAATATGAGGACCTATTGGTTATTATGTGAAGTTAGAATAAAATAAAGATAAAATAAAATATTAACTTACGGTAACCAACTTGATGGGCGTTGGTTAATTGAATGGAATAAGGGTTTTGTCTCTGGTCATAAAAGGTTTTTTTTCATGGTAAATCATCAAGAAAGCGTGAGAAAAGAAAGAAAGACAAAGAGATAGATTGGGAAAAAGAAGATTGGAGAACGAGAAGATTAAAGAATAAATTTTCATGGATCAAGGTTAGTTCTCTTATTATGACTCATGTATGTTATGTTGTGAAAATCAATAATCTAAAGATCCTGTAGAGTAGTTTTCCATAATGAATTAAGAACGTAGGAAAACTACATAATGTTTTACATGTGGTATCAGAGCACTGATTATTAGATTTATGATTTTCCTTGAATGAAAGTTTTCCCAAATATTAAGTTTTTCCCAAATTAAGATAAACCCTAATTATGAATTTAGGGATTTCTTTATCAGATTAGTATGAACCCTAATATATTCCCAAATTTTATTTTTCTCAAAATTAAATAAAGGAATAAACCCTAATTATGTTTTCAAGTTCAAATTGAAACCAATTTTATAGTCCCTATGCGTGAATGACCCTGTAATCCTTTCTAATTGAAAAGGCAAATGACGTGATAGGGTTAGGATGAATTATGAAATTAGTTTCATTGTATGTTATAATTATGATGAGATGTTATGATGAGATGTTATAATTATGATGGAAGAATGATAAACTGTAAAGTTGATAAACTTTGCACGTAGAGAGCACGTGTTAAACACATATGTTTCATATATTATATTATATTATATTATTTATAATATTATTTTGTATGTACATATTGGTTACTGGTGACTGCTAAAGCCATTTTCCCCTATATTATTTTGTCCCCATATTATTTGTACATTGTTTTGTACGTACATCTTTTTTTTATGTGGGGAAAGGATAATTAAAGAGTTATTTTTATGTTAAAGTGAGTTGTATAATATACTCATACTGTAAAGTTTTGTTATGGGTACTGTAAATTTGTTGTTAAGGTACTGTAAAGCTTTGTTAAGGTTGTTAATGTACTATGAAGTTTTGTTAAGGTTGTTAATATAATGTTTTGTTAATGTACTGTGAAGCTTTGTTAAGGTTGTTAATGTACTGTGAAGCTTTGTTAAGGTTGTTAATATACTGTTTTGTTATGGTACTGTGAAGCTTTGTTGTTTTTGTTAAGGTACTGTGAAGCTTTGTTAAGGTTCTGTGAAGCTTTGTTAAGGGTACTGTAAAGTACTATAAAACTGCTTTGTTAAGAGTAATGTAAAGCTTTGTTAAGAGTACTGTAAACAAAGTTTTGTTAAGGGTACTGTAAAGCTTTGTTAAGGGTAATGTAAAGCTTTGTCAAGTGTACTTTGTTAAGGGTACTTTTTTGTTAAGGGTACTTTGTTAAGGGTACTTTGTTAATGTTCTGTAAAACTTTGTTAATGTACCTATAATGTAAACATTGATAAATGAATGAATTTTGTTTTGTAAACTGAATTATGAAGTTTCCGCCGCTGTGTTTAAATTACTCATAAAATTTTGAATAGATGACAATTTCACTTTTACGTGAAATGCAAATAAAGGTCTTGGATTGAAAATCAATCTTAGGATGAAAATTGAAATTATGAGTTTCAATTTTATTTATGGCACATAATATTTTATTATGTGAATAATGTACATATTTATTAAAATTAATAAAAAAAATGCTATGAATGGTTAATAGCAATTAAAGATGTTATTTATTTGAAGTTAAGAATGATAAATTTTGTTAGTCACCCAAGTGGCCAAAATTTTAAGGTTATTTTGATTTCAAAATATTAGTGATTTTATTTCAATTATCTATAGTATGAATGTTAAAATTATGAATAATGATTTATGGGTTAATTGAAGTTCATTATTATAAGGCATTTCAGGATCACCCAAAGGTTGATTAGTAGTTATTATAATTAATGAACATGAAAGTAGATAATTTTGTGTGCGTCACTAGTTTTATTTATATATCCAAAGGTGTTAAGTGATTCTAGTTGATGCATATTTTAATTATCATTAATCTTATAAAAAGATTAGCGTAATTATGTTTGTGTATTAGTGGATCTCCCAAAGGAGAACATTAGTATGCATAGAATGGTTATTGTTAGAAAAGTAGTTTTAGATCAAGAGGGGGGGTGAATTGATCTTTGAAAGTTTTTCGCAATTAACAGATTATCTATTTGTAAAAATAAGATTTCAGATCTGTTCTTAAATCACAAAGCAATCAATCAATATAAATGCAGTGACAGAATTAAAATAGAGAAAGGTTAAGAAAGATATCACTAGGTGTTTTATCTTGGTTCACCCAATACCAGGGCTACGTCCGAGTCTCCAGCCAAATTCCAGTTGGGTTCCACTAGATCAAATGTTTCTACGATTTACAATCTTACACTTAATCTACCATAAGAACCAAATTTCAGTTCACGCACTCAACCTCTCACCAAGAACCAAATTCCAGTTCTTGATAACCTCTACAACCAAGTTCCAGTACGAGAGAAACCGAGTGCCCAAATTCCAGGCACCAACACCTAACCTTTCACCAAGAACCAAATTCCGAGTTCTTGACAACCTCTACAACCAAATTCCAGTGCTGAGAGAAACCGAGTGCCCAAATTCTAGGCACCAAACAATACAAAAAGAATGTAAAGAAATGAAAAAGAAGAAACTAGAATGCTCAAACCAGTTTATGCAATTCTGCTATAAGTGTTTCTTCTTCAAAAGAAATCAAGTTGCCTCAAGAAAGATTTTCAAAGAACTTCTCAAAAGCTGATGCGAATCTTTCTTGAAAAGAGTGCTAAAGTTTGCTTGATTGATTGCTCAAGGATGTGTAAAAGCTGATGTTCAATGTATGTTTAAAAAGTTCAAGCCAAATTGTTTTTATAGAAGATTTTCAAAGCTAGTTGTTTTAATTAATCTGTTAAAAGATTCTTTTAATTTGTTAAAAGTGCAGTTTTAATCTGTTAAAACTTCTTTTAATCCATTAATACGTTCTTGATTCTTTAACAGTTTTGTTTTAACTGATACGACAACGTTTATATCAATTAAAACACTTTACAAAAAATCTTCTAAGTTGATTTAATCTATTGTTTCGCGATTCAATCGATTTAAATACTGCAAACCTTTCTTGTAAAACTTTTCAAGTTATTTTAACTGATAAAAATAAATTTTAATCGATTAAAACGCTGTGTAGAAATTTTCTAAGTTGTTTCAATCGATTGAAACGTGTTTTAGTCGATTGAAAAAGTTCTAATCGGTCATAACTCAATTCTGATCGATCATAACTGGTTCTGATCAGTCATAATTTCATTCTGATCGATCATCCTGAACTCCAAGTGGTTTTAATCGATTAAAACCAAGTTGTATCGATTAAAATACTGAAAAAACACTTCTCTTATCATTTTAAGTGATTTTAAACGGTTATTTCGAAGCTTTATCAGTTAAAACACTGACAGAAGGTTTTCAAAACTTTCTTTAATGAAAACAACCGGTTATTTCGAAATTATATCAGTTAAAAACTTGTTTAAGAAAGCTTTTGTTAAAATACTTTGTTTTTAACTGCTTAAACGTTTTTAGAGGCATTTTGCAAAATCTTTTAAGTGAAGAAACCTCATGCAGCAGAAAAGATAAAATGATTATACCTAAGCATAGCTGCGGACACACTAATCTTTCTACTCTTTTATCTTAGTAACTTTTGTCCACTGCAAAGTTGCTTTTGACTTCATCAAATCAAT